ATTTATATTATTGGTACATTTATAACATGGTTCTCCTTTGACTTTTATAGTAGTATATTATAATTCATTAATATCTCGGTCTAGTGTGTATTATATGCACTGGTAATTTATTGGTAAAGCATATATTATATATTTATATCACTGGAATGCAGTGATGCACATACGGGGGCGGGGGTCGCGTCCAACCGCCCTTCCCATCCCTGAGACAAAAAAAAGAGATATTATTGATGAATTGTAATATATTTCTAGTTTCTAACTGTACTAATCTTTATTGTTGTGGTTCTCGTGTGTATTGCACTCTTGGCAATTAGCTAGAAAACCATCTAAAACGTTTGCACTATTGTTATATGCCACCATGCCGATGATACATATGCTTTACCAATAAATTACCAGTGCATATAATACACACTATATAGACCGAGATATTCACAGAGCCTCCTTCTGATGTTGGTTTTAACAGGAAAAAAAAGATCGAGATATTAATGAATATCTATATCCTATACTATAAAGTATATCCTATACTATAAAGTCAAAGGAGAACCGTGTTAAAATTGTACGGGCCGTTTCCGCGGCTTCAGTGTCGGCCTGGCCATGGATACTAAGCCGGCCCCCGACCGTATTGTGTCTAGCGGCCCCGGATATTAGACAAAAAAGTCCGGGGAAAAAAAGACCGAGGAAAAAAAGAACGAATCAACGAAAAAAAGTCCGGGAAAAATTATTTAAATATAAATTAATTATTAAATTAAAAGAAAATTGGTTCTTAAAAATTATTAAACAAAAATGTTTTATTAAGCTTAGTTATTATTTTCAAATAATATGTTTTAATCGCTCTGTACCTATACTCAAATTTACTTACTATAGAGTATAGACACAGGTTTATAACCAATGATATCTCAATTAGGGCCTGTATTTCCATATAAAACTAACGAGTAACATTACTATACTTATCTAGTATACCTATACGATATATATATATAGCACTAGTAGTCAACCGCGTGTCATAGGCCATAGCAGTGTTAACAGTAATAGTGAAATACATACTTTTGTAATAATGGATAGTGTAAAATTAATAAAAAATGGTAAAAAAATTATTTGTGGTGGATTTGCATATATAATCCAGCATAAACTAGTAAAATGCATAAGATGGAAATGTTCCCAAAAGTCAAAAATGTCCTGGTATATTGACTACCAACAGAGGTAAATATTACCTGTAAAAAAAAAACTGGTAAATTCATCGGTAAACTTACTAGGTATAAATTTACCGATCATACATCTCTACCTAAACGTATAATATTGCTAGATAGGCGATACCTAAAAAAAATAAGTTGGTTAAAATACTGACTTGGTGCATTATTTATTTTTTTTACGAATTTAGTAGGTGCCTATTATAGTTTTATAATACCATAGATGTAAAGTTGCTTATTAATTTTAAAGTAAATGTACAATATTCTAAAAAAAATGTTAGTTTGTTATATTTTCCAATATTTTCAGGACTATTTTATAAATAAGTAAAAATAAAACTAATCCAACAAATTTTTGATTTTTAATAATAAAATATGTAAGTTGGTATTTACTATTTTCTTCCTCTACCATAGCCTGAACCAGTGGCGTATTTAGGTTTTTGTCTTGGGGTGGGGTGGGGGGATATGATTTTATCCAGTAGCCCCTCCATTAAAGTTGGAGGTTTTAAGTTAGGACTCCGAAAAATGCTCATGTTATGCACAGCCAATGGTTAGGCCCATCCCCTTGATCCCCTCCGTAAATACATCACTGATCTGAACCAAGTTATTTTCAAAGCTATTTTAATTTTGTTTACTACCTATATGAATTTTACATTTGTATCATTTTCTAGTTGTACCCTAAGTCCCTAACTGTAGCTCAGTTATTATTTATTAAAAACAAATCAATAATAATATCATACAGCCATATAATAGGTAACCATATGGGTAGGTAGGAATTAAAGAAGATATACAATGTTATAATTTATGTAAAAATAAACTAAATATCATTAATAGTATTACAAACGAAGACGGTATAATTTTACTGAATCAAAAGCAGAAATTTTAATTGAGTTAAATGACTTTTTTTTTATTAAAGCTGGGATGTTGGAAATAATTTATAAATTGAGCACATAAATCATGATATTTCCTTAAATGATTATAATGGATAGTATCTTCTTTAAACCCATTAATAGTGAAGAAATTGTATTATAGAACACCTAAATCATATTACTGATTAAAATTTTCTTATGAAAATGATTTAACTAAATACATAGGTACATAAAAAAACTTCTGAATACCATTGTCAATTATTTTTTAATCAATTTCCATATTAACTGGTTAATACCCTTCAGATTTTAAAAAGATGTGTTGTAATTCCATCATTTAAGGCTGGTAATCATGTGGAAATTATCGACCAATTTCGTTATCTACATTGTCATACATTTTTGAAAAATGCATAAAAAATAGATTACTTTTAAATAAAAATAATTGTTTTTCTAACAAAAAATTTGGTTTTAGATCTGTAACAGTTTGGCTAAACTGCTAAACTGGTATTTAAGGTTACCATGTTACTGTGTATATTTTGTATTATGTTGTGAATTGCAATGGTTATTGATGCTTACAAGTTGCTTAATAAATAAAATAGGTATGTTAATTCATGATATTCAATGTGTGTAATATTATTAATATTATATTAATAACTTAGTTAGGAAAAATATTGACAACAACTATAAGGTTGTAAATTATAAGGTACATGCATCTTCTTAGATACCTAGGTAGGTTCCTATATACAAAAAGCCTTTGATTATGTTTATTTTTTTTAGGTTCAGTTAGAAAAATAAGAGCTAAATTTAAAAAATAAAAATTTGCTATAATGTACAAGAGATTGATAATATTTTAAATGAAAACAGTTTGAAAGTCCATTCTCTAAAATGCGTTTCAATGTGTCTAACTTAAAAATTTGAAAAAGTTAAAATATATTGGTCTAGTTATTGATTATAAGACTTAAATGGGATGGTCAAATTAACTATATTAACAATATTATACATAAAATATTTTTTTATTTTTACAGAGAACTAAGAAGTAAAATACCTAATATATTGTATAATAATTCATATAAAATAATGATTTATCTATCTTTAGTACCTACAATCAGTCTATTCTTTCGGTATTACAATATGGGGAGGAACTTTAAATTGTTATCTAGATTAATAGTTAGGTACTATAAAGTGCATTATAATGAACATGATACAAGATTTTAACATTGATAATATTAATCTACAATTATCATATTATTGCAATAAAGTTTTTGGCCAAAAAAGTGTTTTATAATTTATATAGGTAGAGGTTTGAAATAATGTCAAGCGTTAAAATATTAATATACACAATTATTATAATTTGAAATATTTAAATAATTTTTATATTTCAAAAGCCATGTTACTATGTTAGGCGTTTGGATAAATCTATTTTTAAAATTAAAAATTGTTATTTTTAACATTAAATACTGTATTAAGTAGGTATATTACATTTTAAATATATTATAATATAGGTAGGTACCTACTTTATTTTTATTCTTAATTCACCTGATTATTGTACTAAAACATTAGTTTATAGTGCATTTTAAATTAGTAGGTACTAATAATTAATATTATAGGTACCTACTATTAAATATTAAAATAAATTAATAATGACCGCTTCCCCAGCACAAGCTTAGCTTACAGGGATTGCTGCAATATACTAATTTTAAATTAATCATTTATAAAATGTATAATCTGTTATTGTTGCATTAAAGTTAATATCATTGTTATGCACAAATTAAACAGTTACAAGAACAGAAAATATGTTTCAACTCGTTGCACAGTAGGTACTTTTATAAACTAGTAATTATTAATTTGTATTCATTTTATAAGAGAATCATACAAAACCCATTTGTATAATTTTTGGAGTATTTTTATTTGTTAATTAAAATGTGAAATAATTTTTTTTTAAATATGGAACACAGACGCAATGAATGCGTATTTCATCTATTTCATTCTAGCTCTAATCAGTAGGTTCATAGAATTTAAATTGTGTTACATTTTTGTTATAAGTAATGGTTTTATGCTAAAATCCATCAAAATTACTTTTACATATCAGTTATATTAATTTGTATTAATCTAACTATCAAAGTTTATTTTTTTTATTATTATTGTCATGAAGATTTTAAATAACAAAACAATATTATTATACCATTGACATTGTATAGTTAAAAGTATATTGTTTAGTAATACAAAATATAGTTTTTATAAATGTTAACTTTCGTTTTGTTAGAATATAATATTTAAAAAAAACCTTAAAATAAAACTGTGAAAAAAAATTGTCCAATAAAATATTTATAACATTATACATAACATAATATATTAATATTTTGAATGAATAAATCAACAAATTATCTTTAACAGTAAAAATATAAATTTCATTAATTATTTGGCTCTTCACAAAAAGAAGACAAGTCAATTTACAAAAAAAAATTAAAAACTGTCAAAAAAGAACTTAAAACGAAAACCGTTAAAAAATAAACAAATAAAAATTATAATTAAAGAAATAATATTTTAACAATAACAACATAAAAATATATAAATTCAATAAAGGGCTCTGCGTAAGAAGCAGACAAGTCCAATACAAAAGTAAAAAATAACAATCATATAGGTTATATTAATTAGGAACTTATTCAATATCTTCAAATACATCTGTGACTACTTTGTAGTGTGTGTTGTTTTGGTTTATTAAGTACAAACATTTTTCTCCCCGTTTTGGCTTATCTTTTAGATTAACATTTTTACTAAAAAGTTGCCAAGTGTGTGTTAGAGTACTAAATACATAAATTGAAGTATTGAAATAAATAGCAGCAGCAAATATTTGTTGTCAGTGCCCCAAACTCCTATTACAATCAGAAATAAGTTGTATTAATGGATGTATACTTGTATCTACTAATTTGGAATGAGTCATATTTACATACCTTCATTCATTTTCTATTTTATTTTTTTTTAAATAAGATTGCAGTTGTTCTTCTCCACCCACATATCGCATTATTTTTTGATTTGTATTTACAATCTGAAATAAACAAGATTATTTATTATTAACAGTTAAATCATTGTTAATCATTAATTGTTTATATTACAGTGGCTATGTTTTGTCTAATGAATAAATGCTGCTCTTCGGTACCAGTTACAGCATAAGAAAGAGCTCTGAAAAGACAATTTCCATCGCCAATAATATTTTGTATCGCACACGGATGATTCAAAATCTTAATTTTCAACTCAGACTCCAAACTTTGCTTAAAATCAAGTTTAAGTGCCCTACACTTGGTCTGTTGCCAGCGTTTTCCAACTGGATTAAAATATCTTCCTTGGTCCTGCATTTGTAATGTCTGTTCACACTCAACATCCATACTTGTTTCTGAAGTCCTACTATTCGTTGGTTTTCGTTCATGATATAGTTTGATGTTTTTAAGTAAATGTTTGGTTTTCAGAATTTTATCTCCATTTTTCAATATACAAGAATTGTTACTAATAATTTTGTGAATTGTATAGGGACCAATCCATGGCATTAGTGCCCATCCTCCTTTTCGGTCTTCACGCCTCAGATTTTTTAATAAAACTTTATCTTCAACTTTAAAGACACTGTCCGCACGAGGGTGTCTTTTAGCATATGATATTTTCTGTAAACTCTGGGCTTGCTGAATGTTTTCTGACACATTTTCTTGAAGTTTGTCTAAACATTGAAAAAGTTAACTATTATGTATGTTGGTATACCTACATCATATCAAATCATTAAATAACTTTTATGTCACCATAATTCTAGAATACATTGTCTGTTGTCAAAATTAGGACTAATTAATTTAGATTGGGAGTATTATGTTATAATAATAAGTAGGTATCCCTCAAAAATTGTTCAAGTTAATCTGATTTTTTTTTTTTAATTTGTTTGGATTTTATGATAATATTAAAAAGAGACAATTTAAAAATGCCTTCCGAAGTTCTGAAAGGTACCAACAACCAACTCATGTTAAAACCATTACTAACTTATATATACCATCTAAGGTATAGACATTTTACAAAATATGAACAACAGAAGAATTAATATTTTAATTTATAATCAAACGTCCAACGGTTATTTAACAAATATATTTTGGAACGGACCTCCAAATTAGTTTTAATAATAAATTAACATAAATCAATAATATAAGGGGAAATGGAGTACTATTGTTCTTTTGTCTTTTGTATTATATTAAATATTTTTATCTAATATCAAAATACTAATTAGGTTGTAGTTAAATAAAATAATATAAATATGATGTACCTCTCATTGACAGCATACACTGCAAAGTTTCTTTAAACTTGTCTTCGTTAAATTCTCCTGTGAAAACATTTTCCTCGATTATACCATCTTCATTTAGGGAATGTTTTATGTCTACTGGAAGAACTGGTTCCCTCTGGTATAGCACAAAAAATGGTGAATATTTGGTTGAGGTGTGTGGTACTGACCGGTATGCAAATAGAACACCTTGTAAAACGTTAGGCCATTCAATTTGATTTTCATTGTGTATCTAAAATTGGGGTTATTGTAACATTAATATATTATTTAATGTTTATCATACTAAAAGAGTTAACATACTTTGAGCAAATAATTTTTAATTGTGCGATTGAATCGTTCAACAAGACCATTCGCTTGTGGATGGTACGGAGAAGTTAATTTATGAATAGTTCCGGTCAATTTGAACAATTCATCGCATAAATTATTACAAAATTCCCGACCCTGGTCGCTAATTTCAATTTTTGGACAGCCATGCCGACAAATTATCTCATCATAAATAAAATGAGCTACAGTAGTTGCTCTTTTATCGGACAATGGCCGCGCTTCACACCATTTACTAAAATAGTCAATAGCAACTGCTGCATATCGATACCCACTAGTTTCTGGCAATGTAATTAGGTCGATGCCAATTTGCTTGAAAACCTAAATAATATAATATTTTATTAGGTAATTACTAAATAGTTTAATAATTTCAATAATTAGTTAAAAGTAATATACCATTTTTGGAACAGGAACTGGGTGTAGTTCAGGTACCACTTTTAGTGTAGCTGGATTGACACGTTGACAAATATTACATTCCTTAATATATTGCTTTGTATCCATAGTCATCGAAGGCCAATAATACCGCTGGTTTAATAGATTAAGTGTTGCATCCCTACCACGATGACTGGAAAGTGCAACTGCTTCTTCAGACTCAGGGGAACCTTCATGAACCATTTTCAGTATATTCATCCTTTCTTCATCATTCAATATTACACGGGCACAATGTTTTTTATGATACAGAGTACCATTATCCACATAGAATGGTTTTGTCTGTCTTCTAAAATTGGATTTTTCATTTTTATGTTGTACCTATATTATTAGGGTATCCATGGCCTAACAAATATAGCAACACAGCACTTAAATTAACTGGCTCTAAAGGTTTTTCTCCAATTTTTGGTTGGGTGTTAGTGTCCTCCCATGGCCGAAACATATTGACAACAACTATAAATTAAAATAATTAATTACAAATGTATAAATTAGTAAAATTCTCATTCACTTATAATAAATAATAAATTTGATTGAGGCCATTAAATAACAATGTTTTCCAATTAATTTGAAGTTGTATGACATTTTTTGTTTAATTATACAGGTATTGTGTTTTGGGTCACTGTAATGGATGTATGAAATTGGATTTCATTGAGTTAGAATGTCTATAAAATAACTGTAAAATGGTAACCTATCATCAGCCATTTTATCTATGAAATGAATTTTTTAAACTAATTATAAAGATATTTTAACTTAAATTTTTTTATTTGAAGATATATTTAAGATTGAAATATAAAAATGTTTAGTTGATCTACATGCTTAAAAACTTAAACTTTAAAATTATATTACTTTGCTTATTGAACATAATTAATACAGATATATAAAATGTTATTACAAGTAACCTTTAAAGTTATCTCTTTTTATTTTTTAGCCCAATCTAGTGATTTGTTTACTAAAAAAAAAAATAGAATATTTTTTTGCAAAATACTAGAAAAATTAAAAAAAAAGGTAATTATTTTGTGGGGACCTCTTATTAATTGAATCTTGTGGGACCCTCCCTAAATCCGGCCCTGCATATAATTATATTTCAACAAATGCTATAAGTAAAATGTCAATGAACAAGCTTAACATTTTCAAATTGTTTTTGAATACCTACCTTGTTGAAATAATCATATATTCATATACAATTTAAATGGTTTAAATTATAAAATAATCTTGTATATAGGTAAAATCATAAAATATGATATCCATCATTCATGTTGTATTGTTGTTTTATAATAACTAGTTAAACAATATAATATACAAGGTGATTCTTTTATCATGAACCACTCATTATTTCAAAAAGTATCTATGTTTTTGAAAATATTTTTTTACATAGTTTCATGATGTTAAAAAAACAACGTTTTTATTAAAAAGTTATATTTTTATCCTTATAATTTTTTAAGTTTTTTACTTTTTTGAATGACAGCATACAGTTTTAATTTCATATTCCAAAGCACAATAGTTTTCTAAGAATTTTGATTCATAAAAATCGAATTTAGGACGAGTAGTTTATGAGTTATAACTTATAAGTATTTGAAGTTTAGACAAGCGGAGAAGTGGACAAACATTTTGCGGGGTAACCCCGTACGAATCCCGGACGAAAAGTCCGGGGACAAAAAGTCAGAGTACATTTTTACTGTCGGACAAAAAGTCTGAAAATACAAAATTGTCTATTACCTAAATTTGCATTTATAATTAAAATGTACCTAATATTATATAATATTATTATTATTATTTTGGTATATCCATGTAATACTATAGGTAGGTATATAGTCAGTTCATATAATATATGAAAAAAATATTAATTAAAATATTAATTATTATATAATTTATATTATTATAATATATTTAAATAATTATTTATTTAAAAAATGTAATTTTTATACTTACCTATATTAAAATATCATATTTTTTTTATATTTTCTTATTCTTACTATTATTTATACCTAACAAGAATAATATCTACGGTTTATCTAACATAAGACTATACCTACAGGCTACAATACCGATAATCAATATTATTACCATGATTATAATATAAATCTAGATATTATATTATATAGTTACCGATAATATAATGTACATTTATCTCATCGATATAATCGATTTCACGAGGGACTTAGAGGACGTGAATTATAAATTGAATTTGTCACTTAGTCAGTCGTAACTCGTAGGTATAATAGAAAATTTTGTATTTTCGGACTTTTTGTCCGGCAATCAAAAAATGAATCCGGAATTTTTGTCCAACTTTTTTCATACCGGACTTTTTGTCCGTTTACCACCCAGTACCACTCCATTCCGCTCATATAAAAACTTTAAATACTTATAACTCATAAACTAATCGTCCAAAAATCGATTATTATGTATCAAAATACTTAGAAAAATATTCTGCTTTGGAATATGAAATTAAAACTCTACGTCGTCATTCAAAAAAGTAAAAAGTAAAAAAATTATAAGGATAAAAAATATTTAAAAATATAATTTTTTAGTAAAAACGATGTTTTTTTAACAACATGAAACTATGTAAAAAAATATTTTCAATAACATTGATACTTTTCGAAATAATGAGTGGTTCATGATAAAAAAAATTACCCTGTATACCATAAGTATTTATCTATGGATAATAATTAATAATTTATTCTCATTATTTAATAAGTATAAAATGATATTATATTATATTATTATTAGATATTTGTTGTATTCAAAGATAAAAAAAAGGTTCATTTAATAGGTAGATATTCATTAATAATTATTAATTTTGTATAGTTATATAATATATTATATCATAATTAAAACATTTTAATTTTGGTACTTACCCTTTACTAAGTCGTAGTCTGTAGATTAACGATGAAGACCGTAATGAAAAATATTCAGCAATTAAAAAAAAAAAACTGTAAAAATTTGTAGGTACACAACACATTCGTTTACATTAGAACATACAAATTAACAATTGGACTGTTCAGAACGAAGGCGAATACGCGAATGAAAATAATAATCTGAAATTAGTGTTAATTCTAAAATATCCTTAAATGTAAGTATACCTACCAGCCTACTTATATATATTATTTGTCCTATCCCTCATTCCCTCATCACTAAGATATCAACATAGCATTCTTTTTTACAATTTTTACCAAGAATTTATCAGCTATTAACTACATTATAGACTATAGTTAATATGGGTTTAATGTTTATCAACATTGTTTGGTATGGACCTTTATATAAACATACTAACACATATGGAATACCTACTGTATTGTATTCAAATTTCGCGCGACGCGTCCGGCACGTCCGTGTCGCAATGTTTGTCACCCTGTTGCTCAGCCGTCGACGCTACGCGGTTGAACTTTGTACCCCCGGAGAGGGGACGGACGCGTCGCCGTCGTTCTTCCAGCGGTCGGCCGCCGCCGCTTGTCTTTGTCGTTTCCGAGCCGTCTTGGCAATTGTATTGTTTTTCGTCGCGATCCGGTGTCACGCCGCCGTCAACACGCCATTTTTATGCGTTCCGTGAACCCGAGCCTCGCTGCTCATGAACTCGTCGCGAACGCCAGTTTTCCGCGATTCGAGTTTTCGGCCGCCCGTGCCGACACCACGGCTTATTTGTTTTGTTCGTCGCCCGCCCGATCTATTCGCTGCGCGACCCCGAGCCGTGGTTACCCACGTGTCCACGTGGTTCCGTCTGTCCGCCTTGTCGCAGTGCGAAACCACCGAGCGCGGTACGCTTACCGCGATCTATTTAATTGTTGTATCGTTCGACCGCTCGTGTCGGGATACAACCCTGTTTTGTGTTTTTTCGTCGCTCGCCCGACTCGCTGTGCGTTTCGAGCCCTGCTCGTTCACGCGCCCACGTGTTTCCGCCCGTCCGTCCTACGCAGTGCGAACCGTGGTTAACCTCGTTTTGTTGTCTTTTGTGCCGCGTCTCTACGCCAAGACAACTGATGGTCACGCGAGACCGTTTCGCGATCTCCTTCTAACAGGAATACGAGTTTGTGTCCGCGTCGTCCAATATTTCGGAGTACCTCCCCTTCACCGTCGCTCATCAGCCGTGCGTACGCAGTGTCGTCGATCCATTCGACGAGAGCACAAGTGTCGCCGTCAGGTCAACACCCGCAACCGGTATCGACGTCGCACTGGGTCAACAGCAGCATCGTCGTCGCGGTATCAATCCGCGTTATCATACCAGGTCGTACACACGTTATCAGGTTATCTACTGTCAATATTGTTATTTGTTGTTATTTATTATTCGCATCACGCGAGCTGTGTATTATTTTCATCGATTTATTTTGCCGATCGAATTGTGATATACACTATTGTCTACTGTATAATAAGTCTACGATCACCCCCCCATCTTTGGCACAATTAGCACCATATATCGACGACAACAACATTGTACGAGTGGGAGGTCGCCTGCGTTTTTCCGACGCCAGCTACGACGCGAAGCATCCGATTCTGTTACCGCGATCCTCGCACCTCACCGACCTGGTCATTCGACACTACCACTTGTCCTTTCTGCACGGCGGATCAAAGTTGGTACTATCAATGTTGAATCAAAAATACTGGATACTGTCTGGTCGCGCGGCAGTTCGACGTGTCATTTTCTCGTGCGTTCCGTGCACACGCCATAAGGCTGTCCGCCCTCAACCATTGATGGCTGACTTACCATCCTACCGAGTTCAACCTCACCGTCCGTTCTCACACGTCGGTATGGACTACGGAGGGCCGTTCCTCGTTAAGGAACACCGTCGTCGGAATGCACATTCGGTCAACGTCTACCTCGCCTTATTTATTTGTATGTCCGTCAAGGCGGTCCACCTCGAAATCGTGTCCGATCTCAGCACTGACGCCTTCCTCGCGGCTTTGGACCGGTTCGTCGCCCGCCGTGGGATTCCGTCCAACCTCTACTCGGACTGTGGCACAAATTACGTCGGCGCCGCCCGTCAATTAAAATTGTTATTTCGCGACGCCAAGGCCCAAGACCGTCTCTCGACGCACCTCAACTGCACATGGCATTTCAACCCGCCTGCCGCGCCGCATTTCGGTGGCATTTGGGAAGCCGGCATCAAGAGCGTCAAATTTCACCTCAAACATGTCATCGGTCAGCAGGTGCTGACATACGAAGAATTCTATACGTTGACCACTCGCATCGAGGG